GGCTTCTCTCAAGTATGTGCGTTGAGGTGAGAAGCAGACTGGTTGATAGGTGTGTAGGAGCTAATGGGAGCCCGGTGATTAAGTGCTTGACCGTTAACCCAAGAGGCTAGTGGTTCAGACCCAGCCTGGGCTCCACAGCAGAGAGGCCTGGTGTGCTGCCTCTGGGGAATCCCACCTCTGGGGAATCCCACTTCTGGGGAATCCCACCTCTGGGGGGTGGACGCTGTGCTTTCCATGACTCAGGGCTGCAGTAGAGCGACGGCATTCCCAGGAAAGCCTCCCGGAATAGCCCGGAGTCCCCGTGGGTGTCGCCTTCTGCTTGCTGGCAGCTCCCTCCCCAGGGAGGAGTGCCTTGTCTGGGGAAAAGTGCTTCCCAATCCGCAGGGATTTCAGACAAGCCTGGGTGAGAGGGTGAAACTGCGCCTTCAGGGCCGACAGGCTGGATGCTGTACACAGCCGCAGCGTCTGCCCACCGTCCTGCCCCGTGCTGGGCCATCCGTCCTCTCAACTGCCCTGCCTTCTGGTGCTGTGGTCTTCGAGGAGGAGAGGTCAGCTGGGTTCTGTGTGCAAAGAGAAACTTCTGGAGCGATCCTTGTGCTGAGCACTGACCGGTGCTTCTGTGCCATTTCATAGTCAGCAGTCATGAAAGGAAACCGAAGAGATGGGGCGTGTGGCTTGTCCGTGGCCACTGAGCACTAACGTGCCAGCAGTTGGATCTTGTCGGAGTCCCAGTGGCCCCATGTGATAGTGGACCAGCTCCGCGGGGCAGCCCTAGGCTGTTGGATTTGAACTGCCAACCTCTGCGTTAGACGCCGTGTACTGGGCTAGTACGCCGTATTCTCACATGACTCAGGCCAGCATCGGCGGTCCGGGCCTGTGTGGAAATTGCTGACTGGCTAAGCCTGCCCTAGGCAGGATGTGGACTCCGAGCTGACTGTGGGAGGCTGGCATGCTCACCAAGGAGGGGGTTCTGGGGTAACTCCCTAGAAAAGCAGTGGCAGCTGTGGGTGATGCATGTGTGCTGTGGAGATGCCTGTGAGGGGCGGTTTGGTCCAGCAGGAGCGGGCTCTGGGGACAGGTCGGTGACAAGGGCCTGGTGATGTGGGGAAGTGGTCCCTGGCCAGAAATCAGGCTGGGCCGCGGCAGCGTGGGAGAGTGCATGGGGTCTGCCTGGTGGGGGCGGGGGAGAGGACTGAATTGTGTGGATGTGTGCACTTGGTGTGTACCTGTCATCGGGGTTAGGGGCCACCGAGCTACCCTGTGAATAAGAGGGCAGCCCTGTCCTGTGCCGTCCTTGTCGTTTCCGACATACGCTGCAGCAGCTTGGTTTAGGGGAAGCTCCTCTCCCGACGGGGGTGGGGGCATGGGTGCATCACTCTCTGCCTGCGTGGTGGCGACTGGGTTGTACCAACGTGTGTGAGCTGAGTGTGTTCTGGTAGGAGCTGTAACTGACGTGTGCCGAGTGCTCACATGGGGCTGTAGCGGCATGCGTGTGCACTGGGTATGTGCGTGCATGCTGAGTGTACCCAGATGGTGGTGGTGGTGCCATTGAGTCACCTGCAACTCAGCGATTTTATATGTACAATAGCCCTAAACTCTGTCCTGTACAGTCTCACTACCCAACCCCATTGCTCCAGTCACTGAATCAATCCACCTCATAGAGGGCCTTCCTCTCCTGCGCTGTCCCTCCACCCTCCCAAGCATGATGTCCCTCTCCAAGGACCTATCTCTCCTTACAACATGTCCAAAGTGTGTCAGACGAAGCCTCCGAATCCTTGTCTCCAAGGAGCCTCCCGGTTTAATCCTTTCCAGGATGAATCTGTTTTCTTGGCAGTCCATGATACATTCACTACTCTTCGCCAACACCACAGCTCAAAGGCAGTAATTCGCCTTCTATTCTCACTAGTCATTGTCCAGCTCTCTGATGCATAGCAAGTGATTGCAAAGACCATGGCCTATATCAGGCCTCTAGAGTGACACCATTGCTCTTCAGTACTTTGGAGAGGTCCCTAACAGCAGGCTTTCCCATGGCAATAGGCCTTTTAATTTCCTGGCTAATGGTGCCAAGAGTGTTGACTGTGGAACTAATACTGGGTATGTGCTGACATGTCGTTTGGGGGGCTGTCATGGGGTGTGTGCACAGACTGCGTACATGGTAGAGATTGGATGTACACGTACGTGTGCTGCGTCTGTACCTGATAGGGCTGTAATAACATGTATATAGTGAGCATGTGGCGAAGGTTGGCTTGTACGTACATATGCATGCTATAACAGCGTCCATATGCACCAAGTGTGTACATGGTGGGTTGCACTATCTGTGGGGACTGTATGTACTGAGCGTGCTAGAGTTGGAGGGGAGATCGAGTAACTGGTAGGGACCGTGCATATCCACAAGCGCATGTGTGTTAGGGTTGGGTTATCCTCTCATGTCTCTGCTAAGCATATTCATGGGGAGTAGAACGATTGTTCGCTTAGTCCTCATCGGGGTCTCTGCAGTGGGGACCCCCTCTCTCAGCATCTGCTCTGCTGGACTCAGCGCTCCAGCCACTTTGTACGAACTCATTGCCACTATTACAGAAAAGTCTAGTTTCTACTTCAGGTCACATCCTCTGGTTCAGGACTGGGGGTCCCCACTTCTCTTGGGGGATGAAGTGACATCTGTGGCAGCTATATCTCCAATAGAAGTGAGCGTTTGGCTCATCCAAGGCCAGTGTCCAGCTGGAGGAAAGCCTGCTGTGACCAGAGACGTCCAGGAGGACGAACCAGTGTCCTTCCCTCAGATGTCCTTGATGTGACGCAGGTGACGGCTGTAGTTTGAGATGTCGTGCACCGTATCTGGGCTGTGTGGTTTTAAACATGCCTGTCTTTTACCTCCTTTAACCAGGTTGGGAAGAAGGGCCTCTCTGTCCCCATTTTCATGACAGAGAGGAGTCGGCTGAGTCAGCCTGCCCAGCACTCAGGAAGCAACAGCCCACAGACTTGGGTCAAGCGTGTGCCTCCCTTGTCCTCAGGTGCACCGTTCCCTCTCCTCCAGGCCCGTTTTGGACGTGGTCCCGTTGTGGGCAGGGAACCTTGCCTTCCTGAGTCAGGGTGGACATGCAGACAGGAAGACAGCACAGGCTGCCCACGTTCCTTCCCTGCTCCACAGCCTTCAGTGGCTCCCTAGTACCTGTAAGACGACATTCCCAGCATGCCACTCGGTGCCTTCAGACTGTCACTCTGTCCATCTAGGCTCTGCTCCTGTCTCCATAATGCCCTAGCTTCCTGGTATGTCCCTCTGTCCCCCTCATCCCAAGCTGGACCCTTGTCCACCAGGCTTCTGTGCCTTCCTCTAGGAAGCCCTCCCTGGTGCCCCCCCCCCCCCCCCCCGTACAACCTCAGCCTGGGCTGCACAGGGGTCTTCGCAGAGGTTGCCCAAGTGGCCCGTGTCACCGCCACGTGAGAGGCCTGCTCCTTGCCCAGCACTGCCCAGCCTGACTTGTCCTTCTGTGTAGTGGCTTTGCCCAGGTTGGAGACTCCCATGGACAGGGACTCTGGCTATCCTGCCCATTGTTTTCAGGGCTAGGACAGTGCTTGGAGTGTAACCCAGAACCTCTGCAGTCCGGTCGATCCTGGTCTGTAGACGTGACCCTGCAGGACAGTAGGGCTGCCGGGAGTTCCCAAGGTGGCCACCATTGAAGCTGGCCCTGGAGGCTGGTGGTTCAGCCTTGGCCGCCGTCCTCACTCTCCGCGGCTGAGACCCACCTGCTCGTCCACAGGGAAGCTGAGGCAGCCTTTCCCAGGAAGCCCGTGGCCACGGAAACCCTGGGGGCCTCGTGTCTGCTGTCCCACCGCTCACAGATGCTGCCGTCGGCTCCATGGCTGTGGGGTTGGTCCTGGTTTGAAATCTTTGGGAAAGTCCTTGTCTTCCTCCATAGGGTGGTGGCTCATGGATTCGAACCACCCAGCTTGTTAGCAGCTGTGTGCTTTAGCTACTAGACCAGCAGGACTCCTCCTGTGTGAGCACCCCATAATCCCTGCTGAAGGAGGGAACATGTGTCATGAGCTGAATGGTGAGGCCTCCCATGGGACAGAGCTGGGGTCTGGAGTGTGGGGGCAGCGTGTTGGGGTGGCCTCCAGAGCACCCAGGGATACATAAAGCCCCTGGAAAAAGGACACAGGCCCTGGGGTGTCGACTTGGGCCTGGGCCAGGTTATAAATAGCAATTGCTTGTGTCTGGAGGCAGCCCCCTTCTGGGGCACAGTGTCAGGGCCCCCAATTTCTGGGGCACAGGCGGGCCAGCCCACCTCTCCCCTCAGTGCCTCTAGGTCCCGGAAGGGGGCTGGCTCCTGGCTGGGACCCAAGGACATTATTATTTAAGTGACAAAAATCTTGGGCGCTTGGCATTCAGGGGGACTAATTATGCGCCCCCCCCCCCCATCCGACAAGGCTTTTGTTTATGGCTGTGCGCCGGCCCTTCGCGTCCCCATGGGGAGGCTGGCGAGGGGACAGGAGGCTGGCACTTGTCACCGCGCTGCGCTGGCGGGCGGGAGCGAGCTTGGAGATCCCGCAGCTCCGCAGTGCTGGGCGCGGGGACTCCGCTCGCTCACGCTCACGACCGGAGGCGGGGACAGGAGGATCCTACCCGCTCGCAGCCAGGCGCGCAGAGCCCAGGTGCAGCAGGCTGGGTGCGCTGCTCGAGCTGTCCCCGCGTCGCAGATCAGGACTGACCAGCCCCGCAGCCTGGAGGCCGGGGACGTGTAGGGAGCTAGCCGCACACCTGGGGGAGCGCTGTCCACCGCACTGAGCGCCGCCTCCACGTGCCTGGCCAGGGTCCCTGCCATGGAGACAGGTGGACATAGAGCCAGAGCGAGGGACCCCACGGCCGCCCCGTGACCCCGCGCCTCCCCTGCCGCGGAGCTGCGCCCAGGCTGCTCCCCGGGGGACCCCTGGCCCCCTGGCCGAGTGGGATGTGCGGCGCCCAGCATGGTGCAGAATGTGATCCTGGTGTTCTTCCGCAGACGGCTGAGCCAGAGACCCGCCGTGGAGGAGCTGGAGCGGAGGAACATCCTCAAACGTGAGTGCACCCGGGGACCCGCGCCACGTGAGCGGACAGGGGACTCCCTCTGCGCGCGCCCCTACTGGGCACCCTGTCCCCTTCCCAGGCAGGGAGCATGGGGACAAGGTCCGTGTGTGCCCGACCCTCGCACCTGGCCCAGCTCTGACCACCCTGTCTCCCTCTATGTGAGCTGGGCAGGGAACAGGATTCCCAGTGAGCCCGGCCCTCGCACCTAACCCTTTTCTGACCACTAGGTGTCTTGTCCCCCCTTTATGTGAACTGGGCAGGGAACATGGGACTCCGTTTGTGCCTCACCCTCGCACCTGGCCCAGCTCTGACCACTGGGTGCCCTGTCCCCCTCCACGTAAGCAGCCAGGAATGCTGAAAGAGAAGCACTCCCCACCCCAGGAAAATTGAGCCACAGAAGCGCCCCCTCTAGAAAAGGGACAACCTTCCAGCACCAGCCAGACCTCCTATTCCGAGTTAGTTAACCATCAGCTCAGAGCACAAAGGAGGGCGGCAGTGTCTCCCTGCAGGCTGCCTGCCACCCCCACCCCGACGAGGCCCCGCAAGTGGCACAAAGATTCTGCAAGTGCTGAAGCCCCAGTGGTGCCCGAGCTCCCGCCTGGAACAAGCACTTGGGGGGGGGGCGGGGGGAAGCAGAACGCACTCTGGGCCCCCATGAGGGTCCCAGGCAGCAAATCTCCAGGAGAGGAAACGGCAGGCACATGTCTCTCCAGGAGCAGCTGGTGGATTTGAACCATTGATGTTTGGATTAGCAGCCGACACATAATTCACGGCCCCACCAGAGCTCTTTAGCTCTCGCTGGCTTCCAGGCTTACAGTTGAGAACTAAGCTGCTTATAATCATTTCTTCTGGTCGCAGACACAAAATCTAAGTCACCTACTTACTAGCCCTGTAATCTTCCTTCACTGTTGGCTCGGTCCCCACTCCCACGCCTGTAGGACAGAACTGCTCTGTGTGCTTCCCACTGCTGTGGTCGTTTTTCCAACAGCAGATATGAGTGCAGACGCACTTCGGCCAGAGCTGTGTGGCACGGGCCTCCTCGTCCCCTGTCCTGCTCTGGGGGTCTTGCCTTCTGTCTTCAGGTCACTTGTGGATTGTTGCTGCTCCTGGTGTCTGTGTGCTCTGCTGTGGGAGCGTGTAAGCCTCCTGGGAGTAAGTTGCTGTCCTGACCTGGACCTGCCTGGTGCCAGGGCTGGGAAGTAGTGCCACCAGCAGGGTTAAAAGCCCCATGTGGGCACCTGTGCTCAGAGGAACCTCTTCCTCGTCAGCCGGCCGGCTCCGCCCACCAGCAAGGCTGCTAATTGTGGTACTCTTCACACATCACTGAGAAAGCATTCAAAATAGAACCAGTGCTTAGCAAGAGGAGAATGGAGGTCCTGCATGCCTGTGGCCATGACAATGCCCGTGGCCGTCAGGTTGTTTACCAGCCCCCGCCAGGCGTGTTCCTGGCTTTGAAGCTCAGGGCCAGGAGTGGGAGCCTCAAGAGCCCGATGCTCGCAGTGCGTGGGGATGCGATTGGTTTTGTTTCCTGGGCCTGAGAATAGTCACCGTACACGGCCTGGTTGGCGTCATGCTTGAAGGCCCCGACACACGGACGCCCCCAGATACGTTACATCTTCCACTAGAACTCAGTTCTTAGAACATAAACACCTGCATTTGCTCCTGTCCGAGGTGGGGCACGACTTAACTGCAGCCCCGTTGGGGGACACTCTGCTCTGCAGGTGCTTTGAAGGCGGTAGGAGCATCACTGCTACCGCGTCTCCGTGGATGAAGATGATGGTGGCGATTGTGATGGTAATGACCACGGTCAGATGGTGGCAGCGGTGCTGGTTGTAGTGGAGATGGTGGTGGAGGTGATGGTTGTGATATTAGCAGTGATGATGGTGGAGGCGGTGGTGGTGTGGTTGACGGCAGTGGTGAAGGTTAATGGTTCGGTATGGAGATGGCACTGGCAGCAGTAGCAGTACAATGATGGTGGGGGTGTGCCAGGGGTGTTAGTGGCATCAGTGTGGTGATGGTGGTGGCTGTGACAGTGGGGATAATGATTGGTGACGGTGGTGGCATGGTGGTGGCAGCAGCAGTGTGGTGGTGGTGGTCATGGTGCTGGTGTGATGATTGTGATGATGGCAATGGTGATTTTGCAGTGATGCTGGTGCCATGGTGGTGGTGTTGGCGGCGGCGGCAGTGTGGTGACATGATGGCAGTGGTGTTAGCGGTGGTGATCTTAGGAGTGGTGACTGCGGTGACTGTGGTTTCTCAAGCCCACGCTGTGCCAGGAGCCGCGGTTCGTGCCCGCTGTCTGTGCCCTTGTTACCTCTCGCCCTCCCCTGTGGGCTCCCCACCTGCTGGTGAACACAGCTCCCTGCAGTGTTAGGACTTCACAGGTGAACGCTGACAGGGAGCTGGAGGCAGTTTGCCCCCAGGCCTACCAGGACTGCTTGCCCTTGACCCTGACATACGTGACCTTTGGCTCACGTATTGTCCTCATGGGGGGAACTGTTTTCAGGAAATAGATGTCTTGAGGTTTGTGGAGGACGCCCGCATAGCACAGATGGTTAGGTGCTCGGCTCCCAGCTAGACCCCCCAGGGGCCTTAGAAGACAACTGCTGACCGGCTTTTAAAGGTCACAGAACCACGGGTGTGGTTCTGGAGCCATCAGGAGTCAGAGCAGAGTCACCTGAAGCCACATCAGACCCCGGTCCTTCTGAGGCGCTGAGTTTTCTTGGAGGAAGCAGGGAGTGGGGGGCTGCACATTGGAGTTGAGCATGGGACAGCCCCACCCTTGGCTGGGAAGCAGGCCAGCAGGAGCTTACCTAGCAGGAGGGGCTTTGTGGGAGAGACCTGGCCAACCTTCTCAGAGAGGAGATCTCCAGAACCTGCCCTATTGTCAGGACGATGGCATTTTCCATAGGTTGGAGGCGGGGGGAAAATCTGCTTGCTGGTATTTTTTCCCACTAGGACGTGGGGTCCATCCACAGTGTGTTCAGGGAAGCGGACACTTGATCTCTCAGCCTTGTCTGTGCGGCCTTCACCCTGTTGCTGTTTCTGTAATTTCCTCGCCAGCTTTGTTCACTGCAAACTGTGTGTCTAACCTAAGGTCTGCTGTTCAAGCCCAGAGCGGCCATGGAAGGGGGCCCAGTGATCTGCTCCTGGAGACCCAGTGTCGCCTGGAACACACGCAGGGTCCCTGTGAGTCGGAAGCCATTCGGAGGTGCTGGCTTGGGTTTCTCCTCACTTTCTGGCTCCAGTTTATTCAATGTTCCTCGTTTGTCACTAAGATTGTAAACCATCCACACACAACTGGCTCTCGCTTCCTTTTCTCAGACACCCTGATCTAAGCTGAATCTTTTGTTTTACAAACCTGTCAGGACACTGCCTGATAGACACCCCACACCTGGGCTGAGGGTGGGGCACTGTGTCCTGGGATGGCAGACGATGGACACTGGCTGCGGAGCGGGTCCCCTCTTCCAGCCCTGGAAGTGTTTCTAGGAGCCTGCTGGTTAGAACCTGCTCCGGGAGAGGAAGCCAGGCTATATTTAGTAGCAGTGAGCTCCAGAAATAGAACAGGCTGCGCCCCAGGCGAGCAGCCCCTACTACAGCTCCCACTGCCTATTTTTAGCTCAGAGTGCAGGTGTGATGCGGCTTGCATGCTAATATCACCACCTACCCGGGAAGGCTGTAGGCCAGGGACCTGGCTGCTTTCAGAGGAGCCTTCCTACAGGGGACAGCCAGCACTGTGGTGCCCTGGGGTGGGGGCCGCAGCAGAACTAGCTTGAAGGATTTCTGGGGTTTGGCCGTATGAGGGGTTCGGCTTCAGCAGTGAAACGTCTGCTGGCTTTGGGGTGGGGTGCCTCTAGATGCAGAACAACCCCCTGAAAATGGAAATGGACAGTCATATTGCCCTGAATCAGAGGCAGGTGCCCCCTCGCTGAGTAAAACACGTGTGTGTCTATGCCACGAGAGGCACCTCCCGCTGTCGGCTTGCTCCCCCGCGCTGCCACCTGCTCGGAGCCATCTGGGTTCCTAGGTGCAGAAATCCACAGTCAGCACCGACTCACGGTGCCCCCTGCATGGGGCAGAGGACCACTGTGCACCATGGGTTTTCAGTAGCTGGTTTTCTGAAAGGTTCTGGGCACCTCTGTGTTGTGGCTGGTGGCCGAGCTCTTAGCTGCACCACTCAGGAACTCCAAACATGGGAAAAACCCTATTTGTAATTGACTCCGTTCCAACTCGTAGCCAGAGTGGAACTGCCCCATAGTTTCCAAGGCTAGAAATCTCCATGGAAGGGGAACACACCACCTCCTGTGCAGTGGCTTGTGGGCCAGAAGCCTGATGCTTAAACACCCCGCACCCCTCGTCCTGGAATTGAGACCAACTTATGGTGGCCCTCCACCCGGCCTCCACCCGGTTTCCACCTGGCCCCCCCTCTCTGGCTTCCGCCTTCCACCCTCTCTCCACCTCCCACCCAGTGTGAGGCTCTGTACCTCTACACGAGGAAGCCACCTCTTTCTCTCCCCCTTGGAGCAGCTGATAGCTTTGAACCAATGACAGCAGCCCAACACTCCACGCAGGTGGAGACATGCTGCAGGTAGGGAGGAGCAGAGACAGGCACAGTTGTCTGCTGATCTGATTGGAAACGTCCCCTCTGCTGTGGAGGGGGCCGAGGAGCACTCTGGCTGGGATGACAACAAAGCCGCCTTTGTACAGATGGTCTGTGTGACACAGTGGCCACCATCTCCCGACAGTGATGGACAGAGAAGCAGCCCCTGGGGGGTCCCCAGTGTCCCACCACCAGCAAGTAGAGAGCAGAGGCCCCGGCTTAGGAGGCGATGGTCCCGCCTGCCGCTGTCACATCTCCTCTGCCCTTTTCTTCCACAGAAAGGAACGACCAGACGGAGCAGGAGGAACGGAGAGAAATCAAGCAGCGGCTGACCAGAAAGGTACCGTGCTGTGTGCGCCTCGTTTCCCATTCCTGGGGAGGCGGACAGTGGCGAAGGCTGCACCCCACAGAGGCCGGGTCCACGGTACCAGTGGTCCATGCACTGGGGGCCTACACCCCACAGATCCACCGCATGCTGGTGAGACCACTCATCCCACAGATCTGCGAGCCAGTGTAGACCAAACCCCCCAACAGATATACCACTTGCTAGTATAGACCACACCCCCCGCAGATCCACCGTGTGCCAATGTAGACCACGCATCCTGCAGATCCACCACGTGCTGGTGAAACCACACACCCCGCAGATCTACCACGTGTCAGTGTAGACCTCATCCCCCACAGATCCACCCTGTGCCGGTATAGATCACACCCCCGGTAGATCTACTGTGTGGCAGTGTAGACCAAACTTCCCAACAGACATACCACTTGCCAGTGTAGACCACACCCCCAACAGATCCACCCTATACCTGTGTAGACCACACCCCCCACAGATCTACCTACTGTGTGTCAGTGTTAGACCACACCCCCCCCCCCCACATATCCAGCCCATGCCGGTATATACCGCCCCCCACACGCGCACACACAGATCCACCGCGTGCTGTACCAGTGAGTGGCGTGAACACGTCCCTTTGCTGAGGGCCGCAGACCTTCCAAATGTACCACACGCAGCACCTGTGGCCCGTGGGACCTGAGCACAAAGCCCCTGGTCTTCCTCCTCGGTCATGCGTTCTGAGGATAGCGGCCTTGGCCCTGTGAAGGCCGGCAGACCTGCCTGCGGAGTCTGGCTCCTGAGTTGTGGGCCTTTTTGGGGTGAGGACGTGATGTGAGATGCTGAGCGCCTAGGATGGAAGCTGCTCTGAGCCCACCTTGTATGGGGCCCTTCCAAAGAAGCGTGGTGGGGAAGGGACCCGGGACTTTGGAGTAGACCACATGAGCCTGGTCATTGAGCTCAGGATTCCAGCCCCTAGAACTTTGCATTGATTCGTAGACGTTAGAATGTGTTGGTCTGTGTTGAGTGCCTAAGGAAAGTGGATTTTCACTACTAGGTCTGCAAACCAAAGAAATAACAGATAGATGCACCCCATGTTAGAGCCGAGGGCAGGAGGGAAAGAAGGAAACTGGTCCCAAGAAACGAACAGGCCTTTATTGCATGGTCTGAGAGGGACCCCAAGTAACCTGACTGCAGGGGCACAGACCAGACGGTCAAGGGCAGACTCTCTTCACAGGGCTTCCAGGGAGAGCCTAATCAGGACCCTTTGTCTGGTCTGGTTTTTATCTGGCTGCTTTAGATGTTATCAGCTTCTTAAGGAGTGATCAGACCTGGGGCAGCTGTCACATCATTCCTCTATCCCCCATGCTCACTGCGTCATTATTTACAAGAGCAAAAAAGATAGACACGGATGAATGGCTCAAGAAACTGTGGGGCATTTATACCTGGAGGGCTGTGCAGCACTGAAAGTGGGTTCACTGAACCCCGAGAAGGGAAGGTGTGATAAGGGCACATCCTGACTAAGACGAAGAGAAATAAATCCACCACAAAACTACACCCGTGGAAGAGCGCCCCTCTAAAAAGCTTAGGAAAGGACAGATAGAATCATTTTTGAGTGGTTCCTGGACATGGAAAAGGAGACGACTAGGTTGTCCACTGTCGGGTTGGAACCGACCCACAGCTGACCCTCCAGCGGGTTCTGAGGCCATTAATCACACGGGAGATCTCTCCTGTACAGCAGCTGGTGCCTGGAACCGTGTGCCTTCAGGACTGCAGTGCAGCTTCTTACCACTAGAGCGCCTTACCTGTCAGTCTAAACCTCCAGCGAGTTTTCAGACTGTAAACTGCACGGGAGTCAGAGACTAAGTCACTAAGGCAGAAGGAGATTGCCTATTTTTCTCTCATGGAGCACCTGGTGGAATCGAACTGCCTGCCTTTGGCATACTGCTAAACCCTAAGTGTTGCCCCACTAAAACACGTACAGATGGTGAAGGGAAAGGCCGTATCCCGTGAGGGGAGGATCAGCACGAAATCACTGAAGAGAAGATACCGAGGGGTATTGGGGAGAAGTGGAAATTAGAATCACAGGGAAGAAGTGGGGAAAGTGGTTACGTTGTGAGTGTGACACGGATGTTCTGGACCAAACGCTGGGAGTTGGTGCATGAAACGTGAGTAGCTGAATGAGAAAGGAATTTCCAACTTGCAGTAAGATCGGTAAGAGATCTGGTGGGTTTGCCGGCCCTTCCTCACCGTGTGCTCTCTGACTGTAGCTCAACCAGAGGCCGACTGTTGACGAGCTGAGAGACAGGAAAATCCTGATTCGATTCAGTGACTACGTGGAGGTGGCGAAAGCCCAGGACTATGACCGGAGGGCAGACAAGCCCTGGACGCGGCTGTCGGCAGCAGACAAGGTATGTGCCACCTTGGGCGGGCTGCTGGGACAGCATCGAGAGAAAGAGGGTACGGTGTGCTCTGCTGAGATCACCCTCACACAGCGGGACCGGGCCAGGTGGGGTCCCACGGAGTCCTGCTGGGTCAGTGGAGGGCAATGATTCTCTACAGGAAGACAGCGCTGCCCCCTGGGGACATCTGACGCCACCCAGAGACCTCTCTGGTGTCACAGCCAGAGCGGGGTTGCTGAAAGCTAGCCTGGCCGAGGCATTTCTGTGGCGGTAATGCTACCACACTTTCTACTTTAAACTTTTATTCCCACTGTGTTTGGTGACACTGATCACAGCCCCTGCCTAACGGCTGCACTCAGCCCCTTTCTCTAAGGACCTGTGATTGGGCAGTTCTGCCCCCACCCCCAGGTCTTGATCTGCGCTCTAATGCTTCAGTCTCGCTGGCCCCTGGGGTTTACTTGGGAGAGGACCACCCTGTGAAAGAAGGTGCAAAGCCATGGTGACTCTCCCACCCACAGATATCACAGTAAAATACTGTTTGTCAAGTGACTCAAATGCCATCCATGCTGAAGTGAGAGGGACTCCAAAGATGACAGAAAAACAGCTTAATTCCCAACTTGGTTCCTTGCTTTGTGTCCCAGCTTGGCCGATGAGAGGTGCCTATGCCCTATGTCAGTGACCACCCCCCCCCAAGCCTGGTGGGCCAGGGCCGGGACCTCTGCATGCTGGCCCCACACGAGCCCTTGCAAGCTGACGGAAGTAAACGAGTGGTAGGGTGTTGGTCAGTCCACAGCGTGACTGCCTTCCTCTAACTGTCCGCTTCCTCTCACTCCCAGGCAGCTATCCGGAAAGAGCTGAACGAATACAAGAGTAACGAGATGGAGGTTCATGCGTCCAGCAAGCACCTGACAAGGTCGGGACACGTGGGAGGGGCTTTCTGACACTCAGATGTGGCACAGATTTTGGGGGTGGGGAAACCTTAGTCACAAGGCCCCGAGAGCTTTGACTCCAGGTAAACAGTCTGTGTGTTTCTGCAAACCAGCCTTTGCCCCAGGCAGAGCCCCGTGCCAGTGCTGCCCACTGTGGGCTTTCTGCATCGTGGTGAGAGGTAGCTTGCAGGTGGAACGCCACTCGGGCCATGGACGTAGGTAGTGAATGCGTTTCCCCCATGGCTGTTGGTTCCAGCTCAGAACGACCCTCCACAGGTCTCCAAGGTGTAAATCTGTGGGAGGAGGCTGCCCGCCTTGCCCCTGGAGCACAGTGGCAGGTTTGAACCTGCAGACTTAGCAACTGGCAGAGTGACACATTCCACCGCCCGAGTCCCTCCTGAGCCACTCTGTCTCTCTGTCCCGTCAGAACTGCCTCCTAGCTGGTGCGCCATGAGGATTCCAAGCACCTAAATCAAATGAGTCCATCTTTGTCCCTCAAAACCCCTGGTGGATTGACCAGCTGGCCAAGTGCATCCTTTGGGCCAGCAGCACAGCTCGCTACCACGTAGGCCAGCAGCAGCTGTGTGCTGTCGAATCGGAACCAACTCCTCGCTGACCCTCAGCAGGTCCTCAGAGGCTGTAAAGGACTCTGGAGGAGAAGCCCCCCCCAGAGCACCCCTAATACAGAGTTAAGACCGAGAACTCGCACAGACCCTCCTTGTCTCACTCGACGGTATAACTACTGCCACCTTGATTTAGAAGGTCACTGTGAAATCACTCCCACTTTTCCTGCCCTTATTTAAGTCAGTCCCCAGGTTTAACTGGAACTGTCCCTCAGAGGGAGAGGTGAGGCAGTCTGCTTTCCTGGGGGTGTCCAGCTGGGGCAACCCTAGGGGCTCGTCCAGGAGTCGGAATCACCTGATGGCTTGGCTGTTGGCGCATTCCCCCAAAACCACTGAGAGGTTTGTGTGTGGAAGACCTGCTCTGTAAGTGGGGTGTGGTGGCAGGACTCCATTGTGCCCGCCGTGATAGGACGTAGTAAGGGAGGAAGAGATGAGGGGAGGACATGACTCCAGCGTGGTTTGAGCTGTCCAGAGGTGACTACCCTGACTTCACGGAGCCCTGGTGGTGTAGATAACCTGTCGGGCTGCTGACTGCGCGGTCAGTCATTTTCATTCACCAGCTGCTCCCGGGGAGAAAGACTTGTCTTTTCCTATAACGATGTACCACCTTGGAAACCTGGTAAGGGTCGCTAGGGGTCAAAACCTCACAGAAGTGGGTGTTTGTGGCCTGGTAGGTTAAGTGTGGAGGTACTAACTAAAACATTGGCCGTTCAAATCCTGCAGTTTTTCTGGGGAACAAAGGTGGGCAGTGTGTCCTAGTAAGAGTTCCAGTCCTGGAAGTCTGACCCAACCATCAGGGTTTGCTTTGGGCTTTATTGTGCGTTTGAAGTGACTGCAGTTGGTTGTGTTGTTGAGAATTCATTTCTTCTATTAACACCTTGCCCTTTTAGGGTACCTCCACGATGTGGACAGGCACCTTTTATACTACTAGGCAGCCATGAAAACCCAGGGATGTAAGCGGGTCCTGGAGTTTGGCGTGTCTCTGGGACTCTCTTAACCAGAGAAGCTCCACCCCACAATCTACATATTGATCCTTCTGAGCCACATTTAATCGCAACAGACTTATTTGTGGAAAATGTTTGCAGATGTTTGTTGTTGGAAACGCTTAACGTCCTTGTCTTTTGTAATTCTAGATTCCACAGGCCATAGAGATTTTCTTCTGAGAAGAATTTGCGTTTAATTTTTGATACCAACACTGAACATTCATCAGGGAACTTTCCTGAAGCTCAGCTCAAGATCACCTGGGGTTTGTGAGGGAACCACCCCACACACAGGTGCAGCTCTGCCACCGTTTCCTCTGGAGGGGAGACCAGAGGACACGTCCACTCTTTGATGTCTGAAGAGTGTGATCTGTTGGGGTCACTTAAGATCCCTGACAAACTCTCCAGAAGAGAACTGGCCTTTGCTTGTGGACCTTGGGCCACAGTTTTGCTGTCTGAACAGGTTGGAACGTGGGTGCACGGGCTGCACCCAAGGCCTCCGACGTGTGGACGTGTGATGGTCCTTCATTGTTATATTGAGAAGACGTTTTTATTCTGATCACGGTGAATTTGAAACTTTCAGTTCCTGTTATACAAGACAATTTATTGTATTATACTTTGTCCTTTTTTATATAATGTCTAACAAAAAAATGACAGCTGCAACACTTTGCTTCCTGTTCATTTTGTTCTTTAATTAAATGACTACTTATTTCAGGAAATGGACCCAAGATTTACGTTTTCTTGGAGTGGGCTTGGTAGTACAGTGTCTGTGAAATAGGCCAGGTTTTGTTACTTTTGAGTCTTTTGACTCTAAGATGATGGAGCCTTTTTCGGTGTGTGGTAAATCCTCTTGGTGCACCCAGGCTGGGCCTTGGCCAGTCCATTGATTTTTATTTTCCCCCAAGTTAATGTGTTTGCATCTCTGTAGGAGAGGTCATTTCACCCAGAAACAGTTCGACACATTGGAAGTCATGTCCTTTTCTCAGAAAGTTTGGAAGTCCACATGCGCAAACCTGGTTGGGAACCTGTGAGAAGAGATGCAGGCGGAGATGGAGTGGAAGTGAGGGAGACGGCGACTTTGTCCCTGGCGCGCAGACGACACTTCACACAGGTGACGTGGGGATAGCTGCTCAGTACCAACAAGCACTTGCCGAGACACAAGTCCTCCTGGACACTGGGCAGGTGTCCCCACCCGGAGCCACTGTCACCCGGGGAGTGGCCTTGGGAGCTGGTGGAACCTGTGTGTACCACCCTGTGTGCATGAATGACATAGTCTGCCCTCAAGACAACCAGGTTGCTGTAACCATCGTGCTGGATGCACTGGCATGGTGCCCGACACTTTGTGAGCAGCTAAGAGCTCGAGGTTGGGCACCGGCGGCAGCCAGGGCTACCTGGAGGGGTGGTGTCTCGGGCCTTGCTTCCTCCACACAGCCTGTCCTCACCCAAGGCGCTGTGCCGGGGGCAGCACCGAGTATGACAGGTCACCTTGTGTGCTGTTATGGGAGTTGACTCATATCTGACCCTCCAGCGGGTTTTCCCACAAGAGCAGATGGTGGATTTGAACCCGCATGCCTTTGGGATCACAGCTGCTTACCACGAGGTCCCCAGAGCTCCCTACGGTGCTTGTAATCTACCCTACACGAACCCCACCATGCCTGTGAATAATCTGCTTTAACCTCAGCAGCCCTCCAGTCAGGTCTCCCAGGCTATGAGTCTTAATACAAGGAGACTGCCCCTCTTTCTTCCACAGAGAGGCTGCTGGTAGATTTGAACCACTGACCTTTTCGTTAGCACAACATACTAAGCGCCTTCATGTTGCTGTGTGTGGCTGAGTAGGAAGTGACCCATAGCTGGCCCTCCAGTGAGTTTTCCTAGGCAGGTAACGTTGCACAGGAGAGGAGTACGCATCTTTCTACGCAGAGCGGCTGGTGGATTTGAAGAGCATGCCTTCAAAACCAAACTGCAGCTTCTGTTCACTGAACAACAGTCTTTCCTAAAAAGTTGTAGTTACGGAAAAATTCGAGCTCTGCCTCATCTGCTTTGGGAACTTCTAGGAGTTTCTTGATCCCTCAGCCTCAGTTTCTTGAGCTGTAAAATGAAGTATCTAGAGCCTTTCTAACTAGAAATTCATTCCTTTTATGGGCATCTGATACAGGTATTTTTTGTACTTTTATTAATAACTCATCTGTGGCAATTCAGAACTTTGCTTTCTACCTTTTAGCTATGTGTGATGCACTACCCACTCCCCCATTTGTAATTTGTCATTTAAAATTACACTGCCGGAGTACACATTTAACAAAACTCAATCTTCCATCACAGAAAGACCCACATGCTGATTACAAGATAAAGGAAAAGGTGCTTCCCTTTCAGAGCCTCCGTGGCCCCAAAGCACAAGAACTCGGGAGCGTTTAGAAATGCATGTTGAGCTGGAGACCCACCCTAGACGGCGCCTGTGAGTAGAAGGACCTGTAAGCCTCGCACGCTGGCTTGTTTGCTGCTGAGAAGCCCTGTCGCCACTGGGTAAATACGTTTAAGACTGAGATGAAGGTGCAATTTGTTCCCAACTCAAGGGTTGTGGGAAGACCATACTGTTCATGACGTGTCACATCACAACGTGTGACTCTAACTTCCCGATTTCATGCTCTTAAGAAAAAATAATGCATCTGAATTGTGTTGAAGACAAAATTCTATCACGGATGCTGGACGAACACTGACTTCAACAGGTTTGAGGCAATGATGCGGACAATATTGCGGGCCCGGGTGTGTTTACAGAGTGGGAGCTGACTGGGGCTTTCCTAACAGCAACAGGTAATGATGTTAGAGAGGCTCAGAGAGGCCAGTTAAAACACTGAGCACTGCACTCGAATGCTGCCGAGTGTGGTTAGTCCTGATCTAACCAACATGGTACCATGTCTCAAGTCCAAATTAACCCTGCCAGGAGGAGGACCAAAATGAAAAAGGCAGGTCACCCGCCATACTGGGGATACACACACATCTATAAACTTAGTGCTGTAGAAATATAGAGATAACTGTATATTAGAGTCTGAAGAATTAGAAAAATATTTCTGCTGACTTCAATAATCTGAGAGCAACTCAATAGAAATTATTCCCTTCAGTAGTAGTAATGAGACTTTTGTGCATCAACAAATCTCTTCCTAATTTCACAAAATAAGGCTATTCAAACACCACTAGATATTTAAATCTTTACAGCAGTTCTTTTAAGCAGTTTAAAAGACTAAAACAAATTTTATTGGTGATTATGTGAGGAAATGAAATCATTTAGACACATCCGGGCTTTAAGTCAGTCTAATAGGACAGTGTGTTACTATAAACAGGTCCATTATAAATTTTTAAGGGACTTCAACTGAATAGTTTTTGTCAACTGATTCGGCAGGGGGGGGGGGGGGGAACCACTGTCTAGTACCAAGGGGTCCACCTTGTGGAAATACATGGTAATTAAAGGCTGTTATGTGATTATATTTTGAAGCTAGGTGTCAAAGTTTTTAGCAATATGCCTATACTTTCTCAGCAAACTTAAGTCTGGGAATATAAAATCCTAAGTATCCTGCAAGTCGTCCTAGATTGCTCCCCTCTCCTGTTGAGTGGCCAGCTGGTGAATCCAAACTCTTGACTTGATGACCAGGAGTGCAGCAAGACCTCCTGGAGGCTCCTTGTTTTTAAGGTGAACCTCTCAGCTCCGTTTTGGTGACTGGGTGATTCGGCAGGAGTCTGTAAGGTGGGTGTGCTTGTTCTGGTTGAGGGTTGGGTGGAATGCCCTTGGGCCTCATGTTCTAATTCAGAGGAACACTCTTCTAAGTTGTACAGCACTCTTCTGTCAGTTTGCTGCACTGAGATAATCTGGGTTTGCTGTGATGCTGAACCCTGTGCCATTGGGATGTCAAATGCCCTAATGGTTGCTCATAGTTGAATGTTTAGTGGAGCTCCCAATTTTAAGACAGATTTGGAAGCAGGAGTGGTGTCCATTTCCTTTTCCACATCCCTGTGGAAATTCTGTGAACTTTGGAGAAATGACATTAGTTACAGAAAGGCTTTAGGCCTTTTGTTCATAAGGTCACTGAGTCATGCTTGACTCGACGGCAGTCAACAAGTGCAAGACATGACACGAGCAGAGCCCATTTGGGGTTCTCTCAGGAGGGGCACAGATGTCCTGCTTGGACATGTGGGTCAGTGAGAGGAAGTCTCTTGAGTGAGGTGGGTTGGCACAGGACTGGGTGGGGTTTCAGTCTGGTTTTATGGGGTCACTATGGGCTGGAGCCAATTAGATAGCATCTGACAGCAATTACCCTGCTAAAGTATCAGTCCCACATGCTTCCAATACCCGTTATTACCCCTTTTCAGAATAGATTCTCAGGTAGGAACTGGTTGGGGAGATCATGAGCAACATACAGGGGAAAATTATTATGAACTGAGTGAAAGCTTAGAGTAAAAGGTTTTCTACTGAATGATTCCTACACTTGATGTTTCATGACATTGGATCACAATCTCAGTTAATTTCTCTGGAAGTGTATTGACACTGAGAATATACCACCAGTTCCTATTGGGACCCCTCCTCCAGCCTCCCAGATGACAGGGGAGATGAGCAGTGGGTATCAGTCATCAGCTCCACAGCTCTTGAAAATTAAGTATTTTCTACTTGGAGTAATAAACACTGCTTAGGATCTGCCTGCAAGCTTATAAAGAGAGCTGGTTTTCCATTTGATTCTACATACGCCCTAGGGGTTCTACAACATTAATCCCGGTCCTTACAATGTAACTGCACTGGCCCCATTTGACTCCTTTGGTAACTGCTTGGGAGCTTTTCAGACCCAGATGCTATGATACTATCAAGTTTCCTAATCGTAGCCAGACTCCAGGAGAAAATGAGCTGCCGTTACGAGGTCGTGGACCTTAATCTCATGAGACATCAAGATCAATTTGAAAAACTATAGTCCACAATGTTCTATATAGACACATTTAATGTCTTTAATTTCAATTGTAAATACCCTTGCTATGCGTCTAAGAGCTGGACAAAGAACAGGGATGACAGAAGAATTGATGCCTTTGAAGTTGTGTTGGAGAAGAGCACAGAACATCCCATGGACGGCCAAAAGAACAAAGTATGTCTTAGGGTGCAGCCAAAGTGCTCTTTGGACATGTTGCTGGTAGGGGCTGTTCCTTGGAGAGAGGGACATGATATTGGGAAGGGTGGAGGTCAATATGGGAGAGAAAGACCCACAGCCAGGTGGACTGACGTGGTGACTGCCGCAGTGGGCTCTAGTGTGTCAGGAGTGTGAAGATGGCACGGGATGGACGAGGTTCAGATCTGTTGTTCATAGGGTCTGAGTCATACTTGACTCCATTGCTCCTAACAACATGGGCACAGAACTAGACCTTAGAAAGGTTAGGGGTAAGCGAGAGAGTGCAGGCCCACAGTGAAGTGGACTGACGTGATGATCATGAAGGGCTTGCGCAGGGCAGAAACTGAGGGCGGGAAGGGTTCCGGAATGTTCAATGATACTGTGACAGTTGGTGGTGAGCCTGTAGGGAAGTGCGGTGCCAGCTCACGCACAGTGCCTGTGTGGACGTTAGTCCACTCATCACTCAGCAGGAGACGGGCAGTCTCTGTGGGATTTATGGCTTCTGCAAACCCACTGCAGGCTCCGCAGTCAGGCTCTACGGCAGTGAGATGAAATATTTTCATAAGAAGCAACAGGAATCTGTATATGGCATTTATGTTGTGACATTCCAGCAATGGTAATCCTGCATTTAAATGTTATAGGTGCATCATTACTTTCAAAATACACTTTGTTCTCTTTCCAGACATCTCCACTGAATGAGTTCGAGTCAAGTGTGTGCCTGTGTGTGGGCACACGAGCTTCCCCTCCACACCCGCCTCCACCGTGATGTCCTGGTCAGAACATGACCTCTCAGGTGGTGGAAAGCCCTTGTGTGGGGACCACCTAAGTCCTGCACTGCTCTACATTCCAGGGTGGGCTTTGCTATTTCTCGGTAAGGGGGTTTGCTCAGAGGTGGTTATGTGACTCCCACCAGGCTTACTCCAGTACCCACGTGGCCATGCTGAGGACATACCTAGAAAAGTGTGCCTCTGCCATGACTGATCCAGGGCCATTAACAGGCCAGGATGACAGAACAGCTGAAGAACTGACTCCAGCAACTGGGAAGCTGCACAGCAGGCACCATGCTGAGTGCTGGGAGAAGGTGCCACTTTGCAGGTAACTCACTTAATATGCTCAAAGAGAACCACATCATTGGCTGTCCCCTCACAGGATACACCTGCCCTGGGAACCGGTGCGCTCAGGCAGGTTGGCTGACCTGCGGTTCCCAGCAGCTGGCCTCGCTGTGCTGCAGTTACGTTGTCTGTGGTCCTTTCTCACTCTTCTCCATGTCTGTTTCTGGAACAGTTGCCATCTTGGAGCTGTTTCTGGCTGAGAATGAGTGGCAAACCTAGCCCAACACGGTGCTAAACTACAATCGACATAAGCAATGTCAGCCACTGACGATTTGATGCTGAATTTGTTTGAAATGAAACGATGACGAGCATTTAATGATATGAATTCACTCACCTTGTTGCTGCAGAGCCACAACCGACTCGTAGCTGACTGCCAGCAGATTTCCCGAGGCTGTCAGTCATGAGAGGAGATGACCTGTCTTTGTCCCATGGTTGCTGGTGGATTTGAACCAGCAGAGGTACAGCTTTTGGGTTAGCAGTGTTCCTTACGATCTATACCCCCTCCCCAGAGGTGAAAATATTCTCCGCATGAAGGCAAAACAGGATACACATTTGGAGTCATCAACACAAAGATTACAACAAGGGAAGGGATGGAAATAGCCAAGGAGAAAATGCCAACTAAGAGTGGGAGCCCTGTATTTAGAAATGAGACTACTAGGGACACAAGGGCAGGCAGTTGCTTGCCAGTCCAGTGTTTGCAACTTGAAATGTCACTGCAAAACTGAGCACGACAGATTACACTTTGTTTGGGGTTTGCTGAATCTAATAAAGTGATGAGTTTGTTTCAGGAAATTGATGAGTAGGGACAAAAGCTGGTAGGACGGGAAGATATCAGTAGAATTGAACACTATTACTGGAAAGGTGACTGTGGAGGGCAGGGGTTAGAAGGGGCTTTTGAAAATTTTTCACGTAAACGGCCCAGGTACTGTTTGCTGCCGAGTGGGAACCGTCCCACAGCTGACCCTCCGGCGGGGTCTGCTCAGTGGGGAGACAAAGATAAAAGGGATCCAGAGGACTAAGGATTGTCTTCAAGCCACTGGAGTAAGCGAAATCGCAACACGCAGTCAATACAGTAACACACTACATGTTCAAAAGCAGATGAGGAAACTATTAGGAAAAGCCACCAGCTGATCTGCAGTAACACTCAGGAGTATGGGAAGTCCAGTTCCTCAGGGCAGAGGAAGGGGTGCTGAGCAATGCCTCTGGCCTACTTGAATTTGTGGCCCAAATCTAAGCTGTGTCGTTCTTCCTCAATGATAATCACGTTGGGGAGGAGGGTTGTGAACTCTTACGAGTGACAGTGGATCCTCTGTGGGATTGAGACATCCAGAAGGGCAAAGGGAGGATGGGAGAGAAGTGGTAGGACAAGCAGCCTGGAAAGTCAGCGAATGCAGGCTGAGAGGGTGATGCTCTTACTGTGCACAAACCGAAAGCGTTGGGCGGGGGGGTGAGTTCTGACTCCCAGAGCAGCTCTGGGCTGTAATTCCAGAGTCAGTTAATAGTCGTGTGCTGTTACTGTCCTGTGAACTACCTTTTCAGGAAAAGGCTATGGCTGATGGAAATGTAAAGATTTTGTTGCCTTATCTGACTATGAAGCCACTTTTAGCAGTGTTTTAGAGGGAGGCTGCTTAGAATTTCTCTTACTAGAGATAGCTATTTTGCTTTATTTTTATTTGGTAAAAATTTGAATAACATACTTATCCACATGTTAAGGCTTTATTTTGTTTAAAATTAATTTGATGAATATATTACAATGAATACTTGAAGTTTATTTTTTTATTTTTTGAATACTTGAAGTTTTAAAAAATGTCAGATAAGACTTCTACAAAGAACTAAAACAGGTAGTACAGTAACTTCAGTTTTGACTCAAATTTGTTAGAAAACACTGAATAGCCTAAAATCTCCAATAACATGCTACAAGTTAACAATTTAGGTACTTCACCCTGTCATACTAACTGTGGCTGCATTATTTAAGAATCTTAGCCTCTTAACTGTTTCTTTAGAGGCAAGCTTAAAGAATACACTCTAATGACGATACTATATCTTAAATGACTCATCTTCATTTATGAAAGAAAACAACTAGTTGTGGCCTTACCAGTAATTCAGATATTTTCCTACTACAAATAGCAAGGAGCAGCCAACTCCTTTTACAGATGGTTGGTTCCCCAAACTTTCTAACTAGAAAAGAACTGTGCAGACAAGAGTCTTTGGGACTTAGAGATGTGCTATATAGGGTTCTGTTCTCCTCCCTAAGAAACCTCTTGAAATCTGTAGGTTCCTTCACACTTGTCCAGGTAGCTGATAGAGCTGTCTCTGTACGACCACTCTGCTGTTGCCTCAGTCACAGACGAGGAAGGTTGATGAGATGACATGTTGGTCACCAGGTTTCAGATGTTAGCATCTTGGTCATTGGGCATAATTAGGGAGACCAGTCCTCTGCGAACATGAAGCAACTCCTCCTCTTGCTTTGGTCAGAAACAAAACAGAAAAATCATCACGAGAACTCCACCTCAGCAAGTCCTCCAAGCTTTTCTAGTGATTAATTTGTAAAAAGAACTTTAGGAAGATGGGTTTATCAGTGCTTACAGGCCTCAACAGCACCCCAATCACTGATAGGTAAACTTCACAATGAGCACACTTCTGGTAGTAACCTCTGAAATAATTTAAGGAATAGTCAATATCATCTAGATCAAGGAGCAAACCTGTGATGAGTTTGTTCGATTCCAGTTACACCAGTAGTTTAGCCAAGGTATTTGAACCTCCACTATTTCTGCAAACAGAGCTGCTACTAAAGCTTAGTAACTGCAGTGATATTTGCCTTGTAGACAAAGATTAGCACTTGGGTATTTAAAAAAAACAAACCTGCAACTTTGAGAAAACACCAAAGACAGATTTATTTGTACCTTTAGTAACTACCAGATGCAGAACCCCTCGTCTGCCAGGCCATGGGAAAGTTTAGAAATGTTAGCAGTAAATCTAAGTGAAGTCTGTTGTCCAAGCATGCAATTCTTCCATTAAGCCTCAAAGCAGCTGTATCCACACCCTTCTGCCACCAGCAGACCCTGATCTGTAGAGTTGTCCCTGTGTGGTCTCAAAGCTTACTCTTCTTACTAATTTCTAAATCTGCAATTTGTGCTTCCCTCTCTAGTAGGGCTGATTCCAAAACCACTCCTATGATTTTACTCTAAATCTGCTGCTCCTAGTGTCCTAACTTTAGAACACGGGATTGAAATGGCTTTTCCTCTAACTCTAAAGGAAAGAAAGGCAATTTCTCTATAAAAGACAAAGTAGGGAGCACTGGTGGCCTAGTGGCAAGATGTGTTGCAATCCCAAACTTGTGGTTCAAATCCACCAGAGGCTCCACTGGAGGAGGGCAATCATCTCCTGCGCCAATCTGATCCGATTTGACGGACCACAGTTAAACCCCCCCACGCCTCCCCCTACACATGCAAAGTATGACCATTCCCTTTGAAAAGTCCACCCTAAATCAACTTACCATTTCCTTAAGCATCTGGTCCTGTAGCCTTTTCATCTTTTCTCTCATCAAGCACATCTGTAAATAGATGGCTGTGATGAAGTTTATCACTATACTTTTAGTCCGGCACACCAGAAAGACTACATAGAAGAGAGAACATACCTCAGACGTAAAAATATCTTCTTCATTCTCCTTGTTGTGCTTGACATTTTTCTCATATGAGGCCCTCAGAAGTTGAAGCCTAGCAAGTAAATGGTGAGTGGATCTCTGTTTCCAAGCATGGCAACAGTCAAATGAAAACGGGCAGTTTGGTAAGAATAGAGCTTTTTATATAATTCAGTCATGGAAATGTGACACTAACCTCTGTTTTTCACTCTTCTGAAGGACACTCAACTTCTTACATATTTTTTCCCCAAATTCCTATTTTTTTAAGATAGATAAAACTAGTTACGCTTTAAATATCAACATCTGACAGAGGGTTAACTACAGTTCTGTTATTCAAACAACATGACTATACGGTACCCAGTACCATGCATTCTTTCCAGTAAAAATATACTGAGTTCCCTCTGCTTCTCTATCAGAGGCATTCACTGGAAACTAATGCCTGCTATTTAAGTGTAGTTTGAGGGAGCTGATTGAAAAATACAATACCATTTTCTAAAGGAAAAAAGTATTAAGAGCAACCTAAAGTGGAGGGAGGAGGAAGTTTTCCTATACTGTAGTTCCTGAAAGCAACATTTTTATTGTGATATGAAAAGTTTACAACACTTTGTGGCTTTTTATTCATATTTTCCAACTATTTACAGTTAATGTGGCCAATTAATAATCCATCTTATATATGCTTTTCCTTTCAACCAACTTGGCTCTTATTCCCTTCTCCTTCCCCTCCAAGGAGGATTCTTTATTTATGTAAACTTTTACTTAGCTATCATAGGCAGAATTCTGAAAGCACGAACCATTATTTCTTTCTCTAAATTTTTTAAAGATTGTGACTCTCTCTCAAAATTCTCTAGTTCCTGTATAAGGCTGAACTGGAATTTTTCAAGTTTTTCATTCCTGTTAACAAAATAAAATGAAATTAAATTTTAAAACTATAACTTTGAGAAGTCTTCAAAAGAGATTTTTACAACAAACCTATGCTCATGAATTTGATGGTTCATTGCTATGATATGTTGTTGAGCTGTTTTCCAAGACTTCTGAGTAAAAGAATCCATCCTTCTGTGGTTGGTCTGAAAAATAATAAGAGGAGGTTTGGTTGGTTGTTTGGTTTGGTGTTTTTTTTTTAAGTTAAAAATAAATAATAATCAAGAAAATATTAAGAGAACTGACTTTTCCTGTAAGATGTATAAGAACTAGAAACTTGGCTAAGAAACTTAACTAGAAACTTGACTGTTCAGCGAAGCCAGTAAGCAATAGAGATGGTGGTACATTCCATCAGCTTCTAGAAGGCTGCCGTGCTAGTTAATTGCTAGCATACAGGACATTACATCTCGGAAATGTCATTTCTCATGAGTCTCTTCAGAAACAGACTCAAAGCCACATCTGAAATATTTTTGGCTTGCAAAAAGATGTATTCACATCTAGTCAGATGAACACAGCAGACTACAGAACTTTAATTCCAGCGACTTGATGGCACATAACAACAACCCCTACATCGGAGCTCTGGTGGCCTAATGGGAAGAAGCCATGCTGCAATCCCAAGGCATGCAGTTCAAATCTACCAGATGTTCCACAAGAGAGGAGGACGGGAAATCTCCTTCCTTCGGATTTTCTGCCTCTGAAAACCTGCTGGAGGATCAGCTATGGGTCGGTTTCAACTCGACACCAGCCACCAGCACTGCTAACAAAAGAACAGGGGAAGCAAGAGATGATAATCTCTGCAGAAAAATCCATTTGTTAACCAGAGAAAATAGAGGAACTCTATTCTCCCAAGTGTGCTCTGAGAGCAGAAGATGGAAAAACCATTGAAAGGAACTGAAAATTGTTTCTGAAAGCACTTCCATGCTCCTCATTCTAGTGGAGCTTCAGGAGCTGTGTGCACAGAGGCAGAGATTGCGGAAAAAGTGCACTGGGGCTGCTCTGACTGCAGTCGCCCCCTTTAACACAGACTGGAAAGGTAAGAGAAACTTTGCTCACGGAAGAGGTTTTGTGCTTAACATAATTTTTGATAGGTGTATGAGAGAGAAGTGCATTCATGGATGCGTGCTTAGTGCCAACGGACCAAGTTACTCAACAGACAATTAGAAGCTGTGGTATGTTATTTGCTATAAACATCATAACTGGAAAAAATGCAACTAGGGTGCTCCTTGGAGGCAAGCCTGGTGAGACTTGGTATTGTGCTGTGGGCGTTGTTGTCAGGAGGGGCCAATGCTTAGAAAAGAGACCGTGCTGGGAGCGGGGAGGTCAGAGAGGGAAGAGCCTCCAGGATACTGACTGCAGGAATGGGCTCACGGGGACACTAGATAGGCGAGGTTCCGATTTATCATTCCTAGGCTTGCTGTGACTTGCAGTCGATAGCACCTAACATTAAAGAACTACTCACCTGGATTTTTTTCTTAAGTTTGTCATTAATCACTCCTACACTTGAATATTCAAATTCCCAGCTGTTCTCAGGAATATAAAGCTGATACGCTGAAAATATAGGTATACTTTCAGATAGTACCAAAAAAGGCTACAGTGTATGTATTTCAAATACAAACTGGCATGTCATGAGGTTAAAGAATTAATATTCTATTTGTAATCTACAAAGTATTAATAAAGGCTTTCATACTTCTATTTTCAAATTTAAAAAACATTTGGCATAGCTATTAAGGCAGAAATAATGCTCTTAACATGGACCAGTTTGAGGTTTTTTTAAACTACCTCTAGTTTTATGACAAATCATCAGTAAATTTGTCCTCTAGTAACACTTATGCATAAAAGTGAGAGGTGTAGCACCAGTCACTTAGTTCAACAGGATCCTGTACAGTGAGCTCTGTGATCTAAAGCTTCATCAGTCTTGAACATACCCACGCTGGTCTTCACAGGGCCTTCTCTGTGGAGAAGATCACTTATAATCTAGGAAACCATCCTATTAACTGTTCAGACACAGACAGCTCACCTACTTACTCTTAAAAGTGTGATGAGCTGTGGCTTCAAATTTAGACAGTTTTGTGGGAAGCAAAGTTGCCCTCCCTTCATCTTCCTCTTCCATTTCTACTTCTTCAGAAATCTTTAGATTGTCTTCGAAATACATTCGCTTGTGAGTAGGATGTTGAGTGGGGCCTTGGGAATGATTGAAAAACAATTGAAAATGTCATAATGATTGAAAGTATCCAGTATTTTCTTGCTTGTATAAGAAAACTTCTGTTTACTTTCATTTTTACACTAACTTAAAACACCTGGATTTTCTTTTGGATGAACTTTCCCACTGAGGTCTGGTAGTGAAGGCCCCGGGGAGTTGTGCTGCTAACCCTCCTCCCGTACAATTTATAGCCTCTGAAAATCTCCTGGAGAGTCAGCTATGAGGTCGTTCTACCTCTCCAGCAATGAGCTTTCAAGTTCAGTAATTTTTTAAAAGCAAGATTGTGACAGCAAACCTGATACATGAGCAGTGTCCCATGACATGTTATACCATAATTTCTGTTGTCTTTCACTTGACGTGGGTGATGAAGATGTTAAATGGTTTTCCTAAAATACAGATGAAAGTTATTTTTAAAATTTTTAAAAAACACAGGCAGTCTTGTATTCACCAGTTAGCACTTTTCTCTGGCTTTAGTACCCAGGAGCGGCCACTGCTGCTCCAACTGTCTTGTTGTCTACCTTTTCCTCCACACTGCATGTGTTACCCTAGATGCTGTGTAACGTTCGCCTCAGTCAATTAGCCATAGTTCTGTAGCTGCGTTTTGGAAGTTGTGCACATCTTTCAAGTTAGTTCTTCCTTAATTTTGTTCTGTGCCTTATGGAACCAACTCATAGCTGATCTTCAGATGGATTTTCATAGACTCTAAGTCACATGGGAGGAGACTGCCCATCTTTCTCCTGAGGAAGTAGCTGGTGGATTAGAACTGTTTGTCTTTGGGTTAACAGCACAACTCTTTAACACCAGGCTACCAGACTGAGCTTCCTTAATGAAATTGTCATCTTTCGCTTGAATGAGAAGTCACAGGTCACAAAAGTGTAGCTTTACATCAAAGAGATCTTCCTATTTTATGAAAATGCTCATCCACCACCCACCCTTTCTTTAGACGGCATCTCTTTTGCCACTTAGTGGAGGAATCTGTGAATGTACACCCCAGTCCTCTCTCCAATTTCACCATAACCCTGCATGTTTTATGTTCTGTGCCGTCGAGTCACTTGCAACTCATAGCGACCCTATGTACAACAGCCCTAAACCCTGCTTCATCCTGTGCTAATTGCATTGCCTCTGAAACACCCATCCCGATTACCCCAGTCACTGAATTCAATCCACCTCATAGAGGGCCTTCCCCTCCTGTGCTGTCCGTCCACCCTTTCAAGCATGATGTCCCTCTCCAAGGACCTGTCCCTCCTTACAACATGTCCAAAGTAAATATCCTTGTGCATAGACTATTATAGTGGCAAAAAGCTCAACCAAACTGGCCCAATTCTAAGCCTGACAGTGGTTTAGCAACTATTTAACTTCTCAATTAAAAAGTTTCAACTTGTTTATATTTAAAAAAAAATTCTTACAAGCAAGACACTTGACAATATTTTAAACATCAGATTATTGGGTAATGATTCTTACTAGAACCAAAAAGTCTAAAAGCCATAATATACTTACCTCTTTCCTTTCTGAAAAACTTTCACTGGTATCTGGGAGTTCATTTTCTACTACCTGTTTTTCTGAATTAAAGCTGCTTACATCTGAATAAGTGCTGCAATTTTGTATTTCCTGTGTAAGTGTCACAGAATGTGTATCTTTTCTAGTCACAGAAGTATTCCCAGTTACTGCAGTGCTGGTAGACTGTAAGATACACAGACATGCTAAAGAAGTTTGAGCATTATTAAGCATTAAGTCAAAACTACCTGCTTACATTTTAAAGAAATAAGCTATTAATTGCTGAGAACCTTAACTCACAAGTTACCTACCAAAAGTTATAGCTTATTAGTAGCTTATATTTAATACTGCTTTATAGCTCATAGTTACCCTAACCAAAAGTCTAAGGTTCAAAACTCAAACCAAAATAGTTGGTGAACGTAAAAAAAATCTAGGCATTTAATTATGATAGAATTCAGCAGTTGTTAGATAAAAATCAATAGTACTTATTTCTATGCAAAAAATAAAATGCCATCTATTTTTTTGTTTTTGCAACAATAGCAAAAAAGAAAACCCCTAAAGTATTTAGGATTTCATCAAGTGGTGTGTATCGTGACACACACAGGAAGATCAGCATTACTAGTGGTAAATGGCAACTGTCTACCCCTAGACAAGCTGATTCTAAAACACAAGTGGATGTGCGAAGCGCCAAGAGAATCTTAAAAAGGGAGGAGGATGAAATACCCTGTGAACACAAAACTTCAGTAGTTAGAGCAGTGTGTGGTAAATGCAGAGCAGTAAACAGATCAGCAGAAATGAGCCAGCCCTACTCTTGGGAACAGCAGACATAGAACCACATCAGTGTTACAAGGGATGGAGTAAAGGGCGAGTGTGTGTCTCTGCACTTACTTGCTGTCACAGGAAAAAACAAACCACAAAAGGATTAGAAACCTCAAAGTTCAGATTAGCATCTTGACAGTAACGTAAAATATTTTTATGGTGTAGGGGATCTTAAGTAAAAAAGTTGGTCAATTTCACTTAGTTATATTTTCTCGTCATTACAAAGATAGGAGGAAGAAAACACCAAATGGATGTCAGAAGAGAGCTCTGAATATTGCACCAGAGCACTGAGAAGCCAAAGCAGAGGAAAAAAATCAAGATATTAAAGAGTTGAACAGAAGATGTCAAAAGGCACTGAGGGAAAACAAAGTATTACAATGAAATGTGCAAGGAGCTGGAGTCAAAAACAAAGGGGCCGAACTTGCTCAGCATTTCTTAAGTTGAAGGAACTGAAGAACAAATTCAAACCTTGAGTTGCAATACTTAAGGATGCTTTGGGAAAATATGAAATGATCCACAAAGTATTAAAAGATGAAAAGAGTATACAGAGTCATTATACCAAATGGAACTGTCAGACACAGTAGAATTTCAGGAAACATGAACAAGAGCGTGTGGTGATGGAGGAAGTTCAAGATGCTTTGAAAGAATTGGCAAAAAGTAAGGCCCCAGGAATTGGTGGTGTGCTAGCTGACGTATTTCAACTAACAGATGCTGCCCTAGATGTGCACACCAAGTTATGCCAAGAAATCTGGAGGACAACTACTTGACTGACAACTGACTGGAAGATATCTATATTTGTTCCCATTCCAAAGAAAGGTGATCCGATAGAATGTGGAAATTATCAAACAGTATCATTAACATCACATGCAGGCAAGAGTCTGCTGAAGATTATCCCAGAACGACTTGAATAGCACAGCAACAGAGAACTGCCAGAAGTGCAGGCTGGGTTTCAAAGGGGTCATGGTACTAGGGATATTGTAGCTAATGTTAGGTGGATTTTGGCTGAAAGGAGGGAGGAATCTGTTTCATTGATTATGCAAAGGCGTTTGACTGCGTGGATCACAACAAACTCTGAGAAGAATGGGAAACCCAGAACACTTGATCATGCTAATGCGAAACCTATACTTGGACCAGGAGGCAGTCCTGAACAGAGCAAGGAAACACTTGCATGGTTCAAAATTGGAAGGGTGTACGCCAGCGATGTGTCCTATCTCCATACCTTTCAATGTGCATGCAGAACAGATTATCTGGGAGGCTGGGCTCTGTGAGGAGAAATGTGGCATCAGGATTGGAGGAAGACATCGACAATCTGATATGCAGATGACACAACCCTGCTTGCTGAAACTGAGGAGGAACCGAAGCACTTGCTGCTGAAAGGTCAAGGACTGCAGCCTTCAATATGGATTGAAGCTCAATATCAAGAAAAAGATTCTCACCACCGGGCTGACTGGAAGCATCATGATATACGGTGAGAGATCAACATTGTTAACAGCTTTAGTTTGCTTGGCTCCACAATCAACACTCTTGACATCACCAGCCACAAAATTAAGAGATGTATTACAATGGGAAAGTCTGCTATCAGAGACCTCTCCAAAGTACTGAAGAGCAACGATGTCAGTTTGGAGACTAGGGTATGCCTGATACAGGCCATGGTCTTTGTAATCACTTGCTATGCATCAGAGAGCTGGACAATGACTAGGGAGGATAGAAGGAGAATTGATACCTTTGAGCTGTGGTGCTAGAGAAGAGTATTGAGAGTACCATGGACTGCTAAGAAAACAGGTTCATCCTAGAGAGGGTTAAACCAGGCTACTCCTTGGAGGCAAAGATTCTGAAGCTTTGTCTGACATACTTTGGACATGCTGCTAGGAGGGACCAGTCCTTGGAGAGGGACATCATGCTTGGGAGAGTGGAGGGACAGTGCAGGAGAGGAAGACCCTCTACGAGGTGGACTGATTCAATGACGGGGGTAATGGAGGTAGGTGTGTCCGAGACAATACAATTGGCACAGGATAGAGCAGCGTTTAGGGCTGTTGTACATAGGGTTGCAATGAATCGCCGACGACTCAATGGCACATAACAAAGATTTGGGGGTTTTGGTTTTTTCTTCTTACTAAGATACCCTGTTAAATTGTGCACTGGATACAAAAATATATCTAGAACAAATATACACAACTACAGTTGTATAAGAAAAATTCAGATGATGCCATGGGGAAAAAGAAAATGTAAACTAGCAATTCAGGGGATAGTAAAAAACTCCACAACCCCAGTATGAATATACTCAGTCATGATATTCAGGAAAATGCAAATTATAGTGAGAAACAGTTTTGTATTGGGGGGGTGGGGGGGTGGGGATCATTTGCTAACACAGGTAGTGGAAAATGAGAATCCCCCAGCACAGTTGAGAATGCAAGCTGACATGAATGCCTTATAAGGACAGCTTCTGGTGCCTGGTTCAGAGTTAGCAGTCAATGGGGAACCGTTCAGCTGGGAACGCCCAGCCTTTGATTAACAAAAATGAAATCTAGCACAGAGGGCCGTGGGAAACCAGTTCCCCACCTGTGAGCTGAACAAGGGGGGGGGGGGTCCCTCAGTGCCTCACAGCTTGGAAGATGCAGTCCACTTCCTCTGCTGTAGAGATACACAGGGGTTTATATTTTGTGTTAATCAGCTGCTTAAAAGAACCTGAGGATCCTCTAAGGCTAGAGTGCACTCAGTTAAAGGTGGTGGAAGAGAACTGCTTGGACAAAGGTTCTAGCTCTCCTGTACAGACTGCTTCCAAAAGATCCACTGCCATCAAGTCAACTCCAACTCACAGTGGCCCTCCGTCTAGTGTCCGAGGGTGCAAATCATTAGACTGCTCGTCTTTCTGCCAAAAGATGGTCAATTCAGAATGCCCACCTCAGGGAGCAGCCTGACGCACCACCCCACCAGAGCTGCTTCAGATTGCTTTCGTCATTCATTCTATCTGCATACGAAAAGGGTGGGAAGCTCTGGTGGCCTACATGGTAGAAAGTTGGGGTGTTCCCCAAAGATAGGCGATTCGAATCTGCCAGCTGCTCCATGAGGGAAATACAATCTCCTTCCATGCTATTTACCACCTCTGAAAACCTGCTAATGGGTCACCTAGGAGTTGGTTCCAACTCGATGGCAGTGAGTTTGTTTATACAGAGGGTAGATATATCTAGAGAACAGCAGGGAATATCTGAGTTACAATCATGTATCTAGCACCTGGTTTGCATAACTACCTTATCTATAGCTCATTTTTACAGAAGCAAAGTCCGGAAATGCAGAAATACTAATTTTTGTGACCTGGGGTTCAGATGGCAGAGTTGATAGGGAGTCAGTCCAAGGGTAGGTAGTTCAAATCTACCAGCAGATTATTGGGAGAAAGGTGGACAGTATTTTCCCATACTATTTCTAGGCTCTAAAACCCTGCTGGGGGCGGGGTCAGCAATGAGTGGCTGGTAGGAAGCTTCTAGCCTACTTTTGGTGTGTCCTGCTACCTGGTGGATGCCGTACAGATAGGAACTTGAAGAAATGGGCTCATCCCAGAACCCTAGCACTAGTGACCCTACAGGGCAAATGTGTTCCATCAAAATACTGTTTAAAAATTCCATTAAAAATGTCTTCCACGACTGGAAACAGTTTTCAAGAAAAAAATTCAAAGAAAATAATTCTGTCCTAAGAGTTAATTTGTAAATTACTACACATCTGATGTTGATTGCATTCAAGTCGAGCACGATTCATAGTGACCCTATCAATAAAAGGCCTGAAACTCCTCTACACTATTGACATTTATCAGGGTTCATAGAGTTTTTGAGGCATGTTGTTTAGGAAGTGGATGCCACTCCTGCTTCCAAAAAGAAAATCCAAGTTTTAAACCCAATTCTGTCTGACTCAAAATATCTTCCAATACAAAGTTCTAACGAGTTCTGAAATTCTCAAAATTAAGTTACAAAAACAATCCCAGGGGGGAAAACAATGAAAATCCGTGAAAACTGATACTAGAGTTCATAACTTGGGAATGTTACTTTCTCATTAAAGTACAAAATTAACACTCTTGCCCATCCTCCCAAGAAGGCCAAGGGGAAGAAGGTGGCCCTGGTACCCACCATGGTCAAGAAGCAGGAAGCCAAGAAGGTGGTGAATCCTCTCTTTGAGAAAAGACCCAAAAACTTTGACATGGGGCAGGACATCCAACTCAAAATGGACCTTATCCGCTTCGTGAAATGGCCGTGCTACATCCAGCTGCAGCAGCAAAGGGCAATCCTCTACAAATGACTCAAGGTGCCACCTGCCATTAACCAGTTCACCCAGACCTAAGACTGTCAGACAGCTATGCAGCTGCTGAAGCTGGCCCACAGATACCGAACAGAGCCCGAGGAGAAGCAGCAGAGGCTGCTGGCAAAGGAGACACCCTTACCAAGAGACACCCCCATCCTCTCTGTCGGGGTGAATACAATCACCACCCTGGTGGAAAACAAGAAGGCCCAACTGGTGGTGATTGCACATGACGTGGACCCCATAGAGCTGGTGGTCTTCCTGCTGGCCTTTCGTTGGAAGATGGGTGTTCCCTGCTGCCTCATCCACTGGAAGACCTGCATCACTGTTGCCTTCACACAGGTGAACCCAGAAGATAAAGGCGTTCTGGTGAAGCTGGTAGAAGCAGTCAGAACCAATTACAACGACAGATACGAGATCCGCCACTGTGGAGGCAACGTCCTGGGGCCTAAGTCAGTGGCCCACATGGCCAAGCTGGAGAAGGCCAAGGCCAAAGAACTCGCCACCAAACTGGGCTGATGTACACACCAACTCTTCTGTACATAAGAATAAACATTTCATCGTCAAAAAAGATAAAGTACAAAATTGCTCTTATACATCAACGTTTTTGCTTACTGCATATACCATGGACTGCTAGAACAAACAGGTTCGTCCCAGAAAGGGTGAAACCAAGCTGCTCCCTGGAGGCAAGGATTCTGAAGCTTCATCTGACATACTTTGGGCATGTATCAAAGAGGGACATGCTTGATTCAGTGACTGGGGTAATGACGATGGGTGTAAGACAAGGTTGGCATGGGTTAGAGAAAGGTTCAGAGCTATTATACATATGGTTGCTAGGAGGTGCGAGTGACTCAATGGCATATAACATACTTTGAGGCGCAGGTGATGTCACTTCTGTCTGCCTGACTTTTTCTGGTGGCCTAGTAATAAGATGTACTGCTAATGGGAAGGCACACACTTCCAATCCACCAGTGTTGCTCCATGGGAGAAAGACTGATTTATTGCCTCTGAAAACCCACTGGAGGGTAAGCTATGGGTCACTTTCGACTCAACGGTACATAATTTTTTTGAAGCGGGAGTGACATCCACTTCCTAAATAAATAGTTGCCTCTGGAAACTCGAACTTTGATAGATGATAGTTGTAGAGAGGCTTCAGGCATTTTGTTCATAGGGTCGCTATAAGTTGTGCTCGACTCAAAGGCAATCAACAAAAAGCACAGCTCAAGGAGCTTTGGTGATCCAGTGGGAAAGAGTTGTGCTGCCAACTCAAGGAATGGTTTGAAGCTGCCAGTTGCTCAGCATGAGGAAAATGGGCAGTCTCCCATGTGATTTACTGCCACAGGGTCAGCTATGAGTTGGTTCCACCTCCATGGCACAGAGCAAGCACAGCAGCAGACAGGACGGCCAGGATTGCGCGTGGCTGGTTCTGCTAGAAAGCAGGGCCATTATGAATCAATGCTGATTTGACAGCACCAAACAACTGGTAGCAAGGGCTCGGCCAGCAATTCCAACACGGGAAGGGCTACTTGGAGTAAGATGGAGAGTCTTGGTAATCCTGTAGCTCAGTTCTACCTACGCTACAGAGTCACCAACGGTCAGAATCAACTTGACAGCAATGGGTTTGTTTTAGAAGAAATGGTACATCTACCTTGAAACAAAGAATTTCATTTTTTTTTAAGTTTTTAATTTTATATTCAATGAAAATATATCCATATTAAATATACACATTACATAGCCATTTAAATATCTTAATGTTAAAATACCAGTTTCTATATTCATGTAAAATATCTGACATTCCAATATTCTAGCTCCATAATTCTAAATCAAAACAGATCGGTAGCAAATGGGACATGAAACTGGTTTCCCTAAGGTATTTAGTGATTGCACAAAAAGAAAGTTTGTTTTATCTCAGAAAACAGTACTTTTAGTGCCACTGGATTAGACATTTTTGTTACGTTAAGCAAAGGGACTGGGTGATATGGTGGGTGTCACTGAGAACGAAGAGGCTGGGTGATGGCTGCGTTCTGCTTAGATCAGAAGGCAGTATTTAGGCCCTGATCTTTATTTAGGAGACAATAAGAAAGGCTGAGGCTACAGCTGTGAAAGCCTTTATGAAACACAAACACCAAGGAAGTTTACCAAATATTAGGTTTGAATTTTATGGCTTCTGGAAGAAGCTCTGCTTTCCAGATGACAATAAAAAAAATCTGCCCTTCTAAAGGTAAATAATCCTTCATATTATTTTGGAGAAACTAGCCCACAGGAGTGTTCTTAGGAGGGGCCATTCCTTTTCAAAAGAGACATGCCTTTTTTTCTCTTCTCTGCAAAGCCTCACAGAGTGGCATTTTTGAACCACAGCCATTTCTCCTGAGGCATGGAACATCAGGGGCCTTAAAGTGCAGTCATCTTCTCCAAGTCGGCAATCCTGCTTCGAGGACTAATGTGGAAATTCAAAAGTGGAAAAACTTTATGCACAAGTATACCAAGAGTAACTTTATTCCTAATAGCCCCTTTAATAAGGTATGTTATTCGTTAATCTTTCTACTTCACCTAATAGTTTCAAACGTCTTTTGAATAAAGCAAATGCTTTACCATATTGTCAACTTATGGTTCAGTAACTAGAGCCTTTTGCTGTCATGTTGGTTCTGACTTTTAGGACTGCCCGGGGGTCTCCTAAGCTGGAATCTTTATAGAAAGCGTACTGGTGGCCCAGGGGTTAAGTGTTTGGCTGCTTACTGAAAGGTGGGTGGTTAAAACACACTGGCCAGGCCATGGTGAGACAAAAGTCTGCAGCTCTGGAAACACTATGCGGCATTCTCCCCGCTGCGCCCCTGGCTTGGGGGCCATCACTGTGCCATTTTCATCAAAGCTTAACGAGAGGAGACCACCACATGCTTCTCACTACTGTACCACTGTTAAGTGCCATCGAATCGTAGACGACTGATAGCAACCCTATGAACCAAAGACCTACCTGAATACCTGTATAATTTTCATCATTTCTCCATGTTCATAGAGTTTCCAGAGGCAAGCTATTTCGGGAGTGGATGACACTCCTGCTTCAGGGATCCTATTTTAGTAACTAAAGATTACAAAGTTTGAAATTTGAAGTCTGAAAGTACCTGTGTTACATAAGTTTATTCAAATCTAGAAAGCAATGTATTATTCTGATATAAAGACCTGGAAGTAATTCTGATAGAGTTCTCAACAGAGGCCTACCTCCCAGGATACCACACTCCTCACAGTGCTATATAGTTATTCATCTATCTTTTGGGCTCTTTGAGGCTAGAAACTGTATATTTTACTTAGGGCCTTCAGACCAAAATGCATATACATATTTGATTATGCCTACAGGCAAATTAGAGAAAACCAATTAGCTTGCAGAAGGTAAAGATGACTTGATCACACACGGACTCAGATAAAAAATTACACATCTCCACATATAGTACACAAAAGTCTTCACAAGTAGACTAAAGAGCAGCATGCTAAACAGAGAAAGGATTCAAGTTGTCAAGATTTTCTCTCATTTGAATCTACAATCCATGTCCATGGCAGCAAGAGTCAAGAAATTGAGGGTTTGCTTAACTTGGAAAATGTGCTACAAAAGACTGAAGTATTTCAAAGTGCTCACTCTGAGAATGTTGATGCACCTGTCAAGGTATTTTCAATGGCTTCAGATGCATGCGAAAGCAAGTCAGAAGAAGGAAGATCAGAAGAACTGACGTCTCTGAATTATGGTGTTAGTGAAAAAAAAAAAGATTGTACCATGCACACTCAAAAAACAAACCACTCTGTTTTGGAAGAAGTAGAACTAGAAATGCTTCTCAGGATGGTGAGACTTGGTCTTACACATTCACATGTTATCAGGAACCAGTCCTTGGAGGATAACAATAATAATGGAAGGCACAGGAGAGCCTCAATGAGATGGACTGAGACAATGACAGAAACAGGCTGCAGTGCAGTAAGGGTGGTCAGGAGGCACAGCACAGGGCAGCGGCTCCTGTTGTCTACACGGGGTCACTAAGTGGAAACCAATGCAACAGTGTTCCACAACGACATGGATAAATGACTCCTTTCAGAGATAACAGATAAAATATACTCACCAGAAAAAGTGGATATTGAACTGGTGAGCACCTTTCTCTTCGACACAGTAAATGTTTCTCTTTGCTTTGAGAGGACTCTCTTGAACTTTCATCTCCATTTTTACTATTTAATGACTCCAGAGATGAATTTTGGAGGGAAGGTGACGTAGATTTTGTTATACAGTCAAAATCCTGTGTAAAATCTCTTGCTGTTTTCTCTATTCCTAGATCATGACACAAACAGTTTGAAAAAAAAAAACACCAGATTGGCAGACATTGTCACTGAATTACCTTTGTCTGCTTTAGAAATAACATGATTAATTTAAACTCTAAGAACATAATAAAACCCACACATCTTAGCATCAATAAACCAACAATAGAATTATTTTTAAAATATAAATTATGAAAACATTTCTAGAATGAACTGAAATGTGTTATCTTGAGCATTCAGACATAAGCAATCTTTATATGAAAAATATATATGAAATTATATAATTTTATGGGTTACAGGAACGTGATCTAAAGCACTATTGAAGATCGGATAAATGGTCAGTTTTGAGATCAAATCTAGATATGTCTACTTGTCCTCAGGTCATACACTTATCTGAAATGACTGGTTCAGAACACTGAAAAGAACACAATAGTTAAGAAGAAACACATTAACTGATAAATTTTTAAGTCTTGGCTTTTAAAAGCAAAAATTAGCAGTAAAGATACTTTAAAATACCCTAAAAATGATATAAAAACATTCTAACTTACAATTTTTGTTCTAAAGAAGTATACACATGCCAGTGGTCCAAACAATATTTGTTAACGGTTTCTTAAGTAAAGGCAATGTCTCAACTTTTCATGACTATATTAAGAGCTCACGAGAGACGGAAACTTGCTCCAGAACATAGAGAAGCTAAAGCAAAAGAACAGCTGAACAAAAAGTTTCAAAAGGCAGCTTGAATAGATAATAGAAAGTAGTTTATAATGTGCAAAAAGCTGAAAACGAAAAGGGAAGACTCAGCATTTCTCAAGCTGAAAGAAGTTTCAAGCCTTCAAAAGTTGAGATACTTAATAATTTCTATGGGAAAAATATTAAATGAAGCAAGAAACACCAAAAGAAAATAAGTCACTGTCCCAACGAATCGGTAAATAGTTTGAGGAAGTAGCATATGATCAAGAAGCAGTGGTAAAAGAATTCCAGTGAAAAGAAAACCAGTGGTACTAAAAGGCTGTACCGAGTGGAGGAAGGGAAAGCCACAAAACTGAAGGCATAGCGGGTCAGGTGTCCTGACAAGATGCAGCTTTGGACATGCTCCCATACCTGGGAAATTTGGAAGACAGCTCCCTAGCTGACTGGAAGAGATCCATATGGTACCCAATTCATAGAAAACGACAGAATTCAGAAATCATCAAGCAAAATCATTACTACCACATTCAAGTAAAATATTGTAGGTTATTTAAAGATAGGTAGAGACAAACCATAGATAGGGACTTGCAGAAATTCAAGCTGGATTCAGAAGTGGCTGTGGAACAAGGGCTATCACTCCTAAAGTCAGATGCCTCTTTGCTGAAAGCAGAATAGCAGATATTTGTTTTATTGACTATATGAATGCATTCTATGTGCCTAGAACAGTGGGAAACATTTTAACAATTCTAGGATCCTTGTATTCATGTGGAACCTATAGATAAATCAAGAAGCAGTAGTTTAAAAGAAGGGATACCACATGCTTTAAAATCAGGAAAGATGTTCATCAAGGTTATATACTTTCAAACCTATTCAGTGTGTACATGGAGCAAATAATCCAAGTTGATCATATGAAGAATCAATGTACAATATGCAAATGTCACAAACTTGCTTGCTAAAAGTGAAGACTTGAAGCATTTACTTACAAAGATAACAGCCTTCAACATGGTTTACAGTTAAGTAGAAAAGATTCCTACACCAGTTGGAAACATGATAAATGGTTGAAGCTTGGATTCACAATTAATACCCCAGGTTGCAGCAGTCAAGATGCACTGCATTGGGAAAATCTGTCAAGGACCTCTCCAGAGTTCTAAAGAGTAAGGATGTCCTAGTAAAACTAAGGTATGCCTGACCAACCTTACAGTATTTTTAATTGCTTTACACATATGTGAAAAATTGACAGTAAGACCAAAGAGAACTTAATGGCTTTGAATTGTGGTGCCGGTGAAGAGCACTGAATATCCCACAAACTGTTAGAACAAACAAATCTGTCTTGGAAGAGCACCAGATGCTCCTTGGGGCAAAGATGGTGAAGTTTGCTCTGCCATACTCTGGGCATACTGTCAAGAGGTGCCGATCCTTGGAAAAGCGGTGTCAGCAAAAGATAGGAAGACCCGTTCAAGATGACTGTCATGGTTATGACAACAATGGACTTGAGCATTGTGGAGACTGAGGATGGTGCAGGGTTTCAGTGTATGCATAGTGTTCATAGGGTCACTCAATAAAAGACTTGATGGCACCTAATATCAAGTCTACTTTTAACAAGTAGTCTAGTTAGTAAAAATTATTAGCAAAAATTGACCAGCATTAACCAATTTAAAAGTTTGGCTACCCACAATTTTACATATAGCGTCTCAAAACTTTTCAAACTATATTTAACATCATTAAAGTTATTAGAAAATACTGAATATTCCAATAAAAGAAAAATACCTCTCATCACTTCTATAGATGATAGAGTCCCAGGTGAAGACACAGGGGAGGCATCAGGACCAGTATATCCTCCTGTTCCTTGTGGTGGAGAGTGTTCCTGCTCTTTCTGCAACTCCTTTGGTATTTCAGCAGAGAGCGCATCTTGAGGTTTCCTTGGTAGACTTATACATTTACTTCTGGAATGTATATTTTCCTCCTAAATGTATTGATAACTTTCCAATTATACTCAAGTATATTTTAGAGCATATAATGCAATAAATATTAAGTAGCTTACATACACTTTTTTTGCTCATGCTGCCATAGTAAGGGCCTAGTCATGAGCATTGAAGGACTTTGTGAAGGTGATGGCACCTAACCCCCAAAGAAGGCATAAGACAAGTGGGATGGTAGCTTATAATGCCATGAAGATACAAATAAAATGCTCTTAGGACTCAAAGAAGAAACCAGAATCTTTCCGTTTCATAGCACACAAACTGTCAGCAAAGTCTGGCGATTTCTCCACTGTGCCTTGCTGCTAACAGGAGAGCCGAGTCCTCAGGAAGAGGAGGATGGGGCTCACCGAAATGGCACAGGATAGGGCAGGGCTCAGATCCACTCTTTACTGGGTCATTAGGCGTCAGGGTTGACTCAAAGGCACTGAACAGCAAACCTGTGGGTGAGTCCATCTACTCAATGGATGCGAGTGAGTGTGGACCAGCTGCTCAGTGTGTGAAGGGTCATGATGATGGAAAGCAGTCATACTGGGAATTGGAAAGAATGCTGCCAAAGGCAAGAGGAGCATAGGACAGCACAAGACCGTCTTTGGTGCACCTGGAGTCTCCTTTTGACACTACAGCTCTGTGTGTACAATGACGAAGAATGGAGAAACAACTTGGAACAGTATTTTGATCCCTGGAATGTCTTTCAGGGGTTTCTTTAGAGAGTAAAAGGATGAGATGACTTAGGAAAATGTATCCAAGTGTATATGGTAAAGTAAAAGTGGCAGAAAATGCAAAAATAAGTCCTTAAAGTCTTCCACATGTTTTTAAGTCCTCAGAACTCCATCTCCCCATGTTTCAAAATCAACATGGAAGAGGGCTGCCTTTAGTTCCTTATTTCCTGGGTTCAAATAAGGTCAAACTAAGTATCAAAGGTCTCATTTGTAAAATAAAGACAGTAATAACCCACACAGTTTATGAGAATATATAAAGTTTCATTTATAGAATTGTTAGAATAGCAGCATAATGTCTACATTGTTTCTTTTTGGCTGAGACAATGTAGGAGAGGGATATACAGAAGTAGGCAGGAATGGGTACAGGTAAGGCAGTGCACGAGAATTTCAAGGACATAAGCACATCATGAGGCCTGACCACAGACTTGGGGAGGAAAGAGTCCTGGACATCATTCCTGGGACTTGACCAACTCCCAGAGGCTTTGTCTGCTAAGCCAGAAACCGCACCTCTTCACCCCATCACAATGTCAGGGAAGCGGCAGGCAGCATTAAACATGAAAAAAACAAACCTAATCTACTGAGCCGAGTTCCAAGAACTGGCACTGAAAAAGTTAAATGATTGGGGCTGTGGGGAAGAGTTGAAAATAAAGCTGTATAAGAACTTAAAAAAATCATCACAATACAGGATACAACAAACAGAAAAACATGGAAATATAAACCAGAAAGTCAGGACCAATAGTGCAGTAATTTCCTACATACTGGAGGCACAAAAAAGCCAAATGGTAGGAATGCAACAACCAGTGAGACAGAGGAAAACATTCAAATCATGGAGGATGACATAAAATAATAGGCATTTACTAGAATTTCAGAATTGGGAAGGGATATACCTATTAAAATTGTGGTAAAGAAATTAGAAGAAAATTTCAGGTATCAAAAAATGAGCAAATGCATATTCAAGAAGCTCATCGAAACAGACTGCAAAAAAAGTCAAGTCTCCAAATGAAGCTGTCAATCAAATATGGAGAAATTAGGTAATTTTCAGAAAAGCAGGAACATAAGGAACTTGTGGAAACCGGACCAACTCTACTTGTAAAGAAAGTCCTCCACATAGAGACAAGCAGAGAAAAGGGGATGAAATGAAAAGGGAACATGGCAAAAAGAATGATAAAAACTGGTCTATCACAATGTGATTCTGGTCTGAGAAGATACCTTGTATTATTTCAGTGATCTTTAATTTGTTAAGATGTACTTTCATCTGTGTACATGCTTATCTACGGTCAGTTATGGAGAATGTGCCATGTGTATTTGAGAAGTAAATTTTTGGTTAGGTGAAGTTTTCCCTGAATAGGTCAAGCTGGCAGATTGCATAGTTTTGTTCTTCAGCGTGGGTGGTGGTTTTTTTTTGTTTGTTTGAACTTTAATGAAAGTTTACAGAGACTTTGGATTTGCATTCATTCATTCTTGCACTTTTCTCAGTGCCCACCCCTCCAATTTGCTCTTCTATTTGAAAGTAAAATTCTCTCACTGTTACACAATTCCTTCCTCCAAGTCCACTCCACTATGTGGCCTTCATGCTGGACTCCTGTTATGACAATAATACTTAATCATATATCCCTTTCAACAGTTCCTTCATCTGTTTCAATGCTGTGTACATTATTTATCCCCTCTGTCTCCCCTCCACCCCGATGTCAGTCCCATTTTACAACAGTGGCACTATGCAATATTTGTCCTTTTGTAACTTATTTTACTCAGCATAATGTCCTCCAGGGTCACCCATTTTGTATAATATTTCATAAGTTCCTATTTATCAATGCAGTATAGTAGTCCATTGTGTGAATATACCATAGCTTCTCTATCCATTTGTTGATGGGCACTTGAGTTGTTTCCAACTCTTTGCTATTGTGAACAAAGCAGCAATAAACATGGGTGTGCATATATCTGCTTGCGCAGCAGTTATGGTTTCGTTAGGGTTCTATTTGCAACTTTCTGAGAAAGCGTCATACAGCCTTTCATAATGGTTGTACCATTTTACGCTCCCACCAACAGTGAATAAGGGTTCCAATTTCTCTACAATCTCACCAGCATTTATTTGCTGTTCTGTTCAAGTTTGCTATTCTTACTGGGGTGAGACGATATCTCATATATGTTTTGATTTGCATCTCAGAGCTAGAGATTTTGAACATTTTTTCATGTGTGTGTTTGGTGAAGTGTCTGTTCATATCCTGTGCCCATTTTTCAACTGGGCTATTTACCTTTATCTTATTCTGGTGCTCAAGTATTTTATAAATTCTAGATATAAGTCTCGTATCAGACATGTCATTACCAAATATTTTTCCCCAGTGTGGCTTCCCTTTTTACCCTGTTGGAGAAGTTTTTGGATGTGCATAGAGATTTGATTCTTAGAAGGTCCCATCTATTTTATCCTCTCCTGGTTGTAGATTTTTCAGGATGCTTGGAAGTTTGTTGTGGATTAGGACTTCTAGAGGTTCTTCCAAGCTTTTCTTTAATGACATTTATAGTCCTTGGTTATAGTCCTAGGTCCATGATCCACTTTGAGTTGGTTTTTGTGCATGGAGTGAGGTGTGGATCTTGAGTTTTCTGCAGATAGTTTTCCAATTTTGCCAGTACCATTTGTTAAAAAGGCTGTAGTTTCCCATCTTAACTGATTTCATCACCTTGTAAAAAATCAGTTGACCATAGGCAGATGGGCTGATTTCTGGATTCTCAATTCTATTCCATTGATCTATGTGTCTGTCATTGTTCCTACTAGTACCACAGTCTTGACCACCACAGCAGTGTAGTAGGATTTGAAATCAGGGAGTGAGATGACTCCTACCTTATTTCTCTTTTTAAGGAGTGCTTTGTTTCTTCGGGGCCTCTGTCCATTCCAAATGAAATTGGAGATTGCCTTTTCCATCTCGTTGAAGAATGGAATTGGTATTTGTATTGGAATTGCATTGAACGTGTAAATTGCTTTTGGTGGTAGTGTCATTTTCACAATATTGAGTCCTCCTATCCATGAGCAAGGGATATTCTTCCACTTCTCCAGGTCTGTTTCTTGTAGTAATGTTTTGTTACTTTCTTTGAACAGATCCTTTGTGCTTCTGATTAGATTTACTCCCAAGTATTTAATCTTGTGATTAGCTATTGTGAAGGGTATTTTTTTTTTTTAGTTCCAGTTCTGTATTCTCTTTGTCACTGTAGAGAAATCCAACTGATTTATGTTGATATTGTTTCCTACCACTTCGCTGAACTGGTCAGTAACTATGTTCTGTAGTTTTCTTGCTGAGTCTTTAGGGTTTTCTAAGTATACTATCATATCATCTGCATAGAGAGATAATTTTACCTCCTCTTTGCCAATTTGGCTATCTCTTATTTCCTTCTCTTGCCTTCATGACATCACTAAGACTTCCAGAATAATATTGAATAGGAAAGTTGATAGTGGGCATCCTTGCCTAGTTCCTGTTCTCAAGGGGAATGCCTTTAATCTCTCTCCATTGAGAACAAGGTTGGCTCTCAGGTTTGCATATATACTTTTTACTATGTTGAAGAAATTCCCCTCTAATACTATTTTGTTGAGGGTTTTAATCAAGAAAGGATTTTTCCAAAGGCCTTTCTGCATCAGTTGATAGGATCATGTGGTTCTTGTTCTTTGCTTTGGTAATGTGACTAATTACATTCACTGTTTTTATGTTGAACCATCCTTGCATACCTTTTATGAATCCCACTTGGTCATGTTGAATTTTTATGCATCGTTGGATTTTACTGGCTAAGATTTTATACAGGATTTTTTCATCAATGTTCATGAGAGATATTGGCCTATACTTTTCTATTTTGGTGTTGTCTTTGCTTGGCTGTGGTATCAAGAATGTTTGCTTCACAGAATAAGTCTGGGAGAATTGCATCTTTTCCTGTTTTCTAAAATAGTTTATGTAGAATTGGTGACAGATATTCTCTGAGTGTTTGATAAAATTCACTTGTAAAACCATCTGGTCCAGGGCTTTTCTTGGCTGGAAGTTGTTTTATTATCTTTTCAATTTCTTCGTTTGTAATGGGTCTGTTCAGGTGTTCAATTTCAGTTGGTGTCAGTTTAGACAGGTTGTGAATTTCTAAGTATTTGCCCATTTCCTTAGGTTTTCTTTTTTGAGTATAATTTTTCATAATCTTTAATGTTAGCCTTTTTATTTCAGTTGGTTCTGTTGTGGCATTGCCCATGTCATCTCTTATTTGAATTATTTGTGTCTTTTCCTTTTTTAGTTTTGCTA